TTATGTTAACCAGTTTGATGGGAGTATTTCAAAATGTATATGAAAACAGCACACTGTACCCCATGATTGCATTAATGTACATAGTTATGCTATAAAAAATAAAAAAAAAAAAAAGAAGAAGACTTGAGCCCAAGAGTTTAAAGTTACTATGAGCTATGATACACTCTACCAAAGGCAACAAAATGAGACTGTGTGGAAAAAAAAAAAAAAAAGAGGGCGGCGCCTGTGGCTCAGTGAGTAGAGCACCAGCCCCATATACCAAGGGTGGTGGGTTCAAACCCAGCCCCAGCCAAACTGCAACAAAAAAAAAATAGCTGGGTTTTGTGGCTGGTGCCTGTAGTCCCAGCTACTTGGGAGGCTGAGGCAAGAGAATCGCCTAAGCCCAGGAGTTGGAGGTTGCTGTGAGCTGTGACATCATGGCACTCTACCGAGGGCAATAAAATGAGACTCTGTCTCTAAAAAAAAAAAAGGACAGAAAAGAAAAAGAGAAGCATTTCTAAAACCTCTATAGACTGGTTCTCCTATTAATAATGGCAATACCCTCATTATTTTTATTTTTCTGATTATAAAACTGCTTCATCTCCATAAAATGGTCTGTGTTGTAGATACATAAGGTAGAATCCAGAGAAAACAGTTTCATGTATAGCTCTTAAGAGTGCTTGAATGTTGTTGGTTTTTAAAGCCATTCCTATAGCTACTGATTTTGTAACTTGTTTCCCCTTCTCCATCCCTACTTAAATGTTTTGTTCATCTTCCCAATAATGCCTTACTGATTATAATGGCTGTCCATAACTTCATCAAGTAGTTGTACCCTGTTAAGTTTTACTAGTACTCTGCTAATAGTTAAGGTTGTTTTACTAGTATTCTGCTAATAGTTTAGGTTGTTTGGAAAAGATGAACAAAGCTGTGTTGAACATCCTCATACACACTATCTTGTGTTCCAGTAGGTTAAAAAATCTCTTAACTAGTGTCTTCACTATATTCATTTAAGGAGAAAGTACTTGTTTCTTATTGCTCCTTGGTTTAATTTGGTTAATTTGGGATTTTTAAGTGTAGTTTTTCTTTTTTTTTTTTTTTGTTGAGACAGAGTGTCACTATGTCGCCCTTCATAGAGTGCTATGGTATCACAGCTCACAGCAACCTTAAATTCTTGGGCTTAAGCCAGTGGTTCTCAACCTGTGGGTTATGGCCCACAGGACCTATATTAAAGGGCCGTGGCGTTAGGAAGGTTGAGAACCACTGGCTTAAGCGATTCTCTTGCCTCAGCCTCCCAAGTAGCTAAGACTACAGGCACCGGCCACAATGCCTGACTGTTTTTCTGTTATTGTTATCATTATTATTTAGCAGGCCCTGTCTAGGTTCAAACCCGCCAGCCCCAGTGTATGTGGCCGGTGCCCTAAGTATAGTTTTTCTATTCCCCTCCTATAGAGCAATAGAGAAAAGATTGAAGATTATACCCCAAACTGTTAGAGTGGTTAGAGTGCAGTTGAATAAAATGTGGGTTATACTTTTTAACTTTCTACATGTCTCTATATTATAGCAATCATGTATTCCCTCTGTAATTTTTTTTTTAAAAAGAAAACTTTGTTAAATAGCAAGAAATTATTTTAAAAATGCAAAAAGGTATATAGAAGTAAATAGGCAGCCTTAAGGTTATAATTCAGAAATCTTTAGCTTACTAGCCTATTTCTCTTTGCATTTTTTCCTTTAGCATATATTCATTTCAAATAATTTTAAAACTACGGTATGTACAGTAGCTACAACCATTTTTTTTGGCATAGCCTCCCATTACAAGCATGTTCCCATACCACTGAAACCTATAAGGATATAGTTTTAAGGCCTGATGCCTATAGCTCAAGTGACTAAGGCACCAGCCACATACACCAGAGCTGGTGGGCTCGAATCCAGCCCAGGCCCGCCAAACAACAATGACAACTACAACCAAAAGATAGCCAGGTGTTGCCAAAAGAATATAGTTTTAAAATGTTAACTTTAAACTGCTGTAGAATTATTCTGATATCTTTTCTGGAAAGGAGAGCGTTCCATGCCTTAGATCGAAATTAACATTGACAGAACGAAAGAGCAAGTTGAGCATAAATTAGGCAATGAGCCCGCTCCGCTTGGCCCTGGACTGTGCACACAAGGTCCATAACACTAACGCTGTGACTGAGCTATAGGGAGTTACAAACTGGAACAGCATTTCTAACTGACTTTCGTAATGTTCTTATCTTTTCCTGTGATTTCAGGGCCCGGGACAGCCAAGATAGAAACATCCGCTGCTGGGCAGTTCAGCAAGCCTTTCTCATTTTCTCCATCAGGGTCAGTAATGAATTTAAGTTTTGTGGCAAATTGCTTGCAACCTTATAGTTAGCTTTGCCAAATCTTAATATTAAAGATATATTTATATGGTTCTTAAATGTGCTTGAACCCAAAATTCTTATCACTGCAGTAACATATCTGATGATGGTAGCAGTAACTTAATGTTCTAATGTAAATCTGTTTCCTTTTGGTGGTTCAAGTTTTATGTGTATTATTACATGTTTGTTTTATTTTTAAACCTAAGCCTCATTTTCTATTAAATTATCTAGTTTATCACACTAAAGCATTTTCATTCTGACACATTCGGGGTTGGATGTGACAATTAAATTGGCTTTATTGTATTGAGAACTGACTATATTAAACTTCATAGAGAAGGTGACAAAAGGCAGTAGATGCTTGAAATTTGGGGTTTATATCAATATGGAAGAAACCACTTCTGTTTCATTTTTTAAAAAATAATGGTAGGCATCCATGTACAGTTGAGTCATTTTAAAAGTGAAAGAATTTTCTACATCTCCTTCCGGGGTGAGTCTTTGTTACCCTTGGAGTGAGATGCCTGTTCTATGTTGCAGGCTCTCACACAGACACCTCTGCAAGCTATCGAAGCATTTCGTTCCTTCTACCAAAGGAGTTAGACTATGTAGCTGGGATCAAAACCTATCCAAAGGTTTTCTTTTCCCTTGAAATGTGCATCAGTTCCCCAAGAAAAGCCTCTAAACCAGCGGTTCTCAACTGTAGGTCACAACCCATAGGAACTTAAGGGCTGTGGCATTAGGAAGGTTGAGAACCACTGCTCTAAACTCTTCACCTCATGCCTTTGTAACTGGAATCATGTTAACTGAAATCTCTTCTTCCCAATGTTAATATGTTTCTTAAGTGTTGTGCAGCCTAACATATTAGGAGAAAAAGGGGTGTTAGAATTTAAGGGGGAATGTTATATATTATATGAATTTTGTTTTCCTTTCCTTTTTTTTTTTTTTTTGAGACAGGGTCTGACTCTGTCATCTGCTCCCCAGTTGTACAGATTTGATTTTATTCATTTGAGATAGAATCTCTCTGTGTCACCCAGTACAGTGATGCAATCATAGCTCACAGTAACCTCAGACTCCTGGGCTACAGCGATCCTCCTGCTTCAGCCATCTGCGTAGCTGGGACTATAGTCATGTACCACCAAGCTCGCTTAGCCTGGGCTGGTCTCAAACTCTTTTTTTTTTTTTGAGACAGAGCCTCAAGCTATTGCCCTGGTGTCACAGCTCACAGCAACCTCCAACTCTTGGGCTCAAGTGATTCTCTTACCTCAGCCTCTCGACTAGCTGGTACTATAGGCACCTGCCACAACACCCGGCCATTTTTTGGTTGTAGTTGTCATTGTTTGGCATCCCTGGGCTGGATTCGAACCCACCAGCTCTGGTGTATGTGGCTGGCGCCCAGCCACTTGTATTACAGGCACCAAGCCATGTCTCAAACTTTTGGCCTCAAGCAGTCCTCCCACCTCAGCCTCCCAGAGTGCTGAGAATACAGGTGTAAGCCACTGTGCCCATCCATATTTTTTTCTGTATTGTAAATCATTATGTTTTATACGTTACAAAAAATATTTGGAGAATATTTTAAAGAGGAGTTCAATGTCAAGAATTAATAATAATTAATCTTCCCTGAAATGGTATCCTTCTGTTTTTTAAAGTTGGAAAATTTAGACTCGTTGAGTCAATGGTCTCTAATAGGTAAAATTTCTTTTATTTATTATTATTGTTATTATTTTTTTTGAGACAGAGTCTCACTTTATTGCCCCTGGTAGAGTGCCAGGGTGTCACAGCTCACAGCAACCTACAACTCCTGGGTCTAGGCGATTCTCTTGCCTCAGCCTCTCAAGTAGCTGAGACAACAGGTGCCCACCGCAATGCCCAGCTATTTTTTTGTTGCAGTTTGGCCCAGGCTGCCCTCGGTATATGGGGCCGGCGCCCTACCCACTGAGCCACAGGCGCCACCCTTATTATTTATTAGCCCCTCATCAGTCAGCTTGATACATAACAGTACTTTTACCAAGGTTGAAACGTACTGATAAAGGGGTTTTTGTTTGTTTGTTTCATATGATCATATATTTAGCACATCTTTTGGGTGGTCTTTATCCATTTGAGGAAGGCAGTGATGGGTAAAACAAATCTAAATTCTTAGAATTTTACTATATTTGATGTGCTTGGTTTCTTAAATTTTAAAACTCTGTTTAGTTAAAATCTGCTATGTGAAGTTTTGTCACAGCGAATGCTCTATTCTGGTTCACGCTTGACTGTGGTATCTTAACTTACAGTGTAATGAAAATGTACAGAAAGGAGAGAGGAGGTGGTAAAAGGAGTCAGAAAGCTTTTAAACCATATTTTTCCAGCCCAGAATTCATAGCTCTGTCAAAATGGCAGTGACAAGGCCTTCTCTTTTATTCTGTCCATCATCTCCCCGGGCAGTGTGGGGCTGTCCAGTATGGTCCTTGCTCCCGCTAATTCAGTTGCTTCTGTGTCACCGGAGCTTCCTAGCCCTCACTCTGCAGCCATCTGCTCTGGCCACCATTCCCACATGCACATTCCTGGTGTGTTTCTGCTACTGCAGCTTTGCTTTTCTTGGAATAAATTTCCACCCAAACCTCTACTGTAGAAAGCCCAGCCATCCCTCCAAGTCTTCTCATTTGCTACCCTCTTACTTCCCCTACACGTGCCTCTCCTGCTGAGAGATCTTAGAGTGGCTTTACTGCTTATGAGAGATACGGTTATGTTTTGAGTGTTGCTTGTTTTCTAGATTACAGATTCCTTATGGGTCATTTGCATGTATGGATTATTAAGTAGAATATTATAAAAGGCTATGTTATACCTTAAGCGTGATCCTTTTTGATTTCTCTTTTCCACTCATTAGGACGGTTGGCTTTAATTTTGGAATAGTCACACCAACACCATCTTCTAATTTCACTGCCACACAAGGTACGGTGTCTGTGTTATGTAGCATCACTGTGTATTTGCCCCAAATAAGTACAGGTTATTTTTATACAGATGTGTTGACATTTTACTTGCTCTTGCATTTTGTTTACAGTGTCTACAATAAAGTGTGGTGTTGATGATGCGCATTAGAAATAGGCTCAATTTAAGAGACTGATCTGAAGGATTTCAGTCTACTTTCAATATTGAGAACAAGGAAGGGATTTGCTTCAGTAAATCAAGGCTATGTTTTAATATTTAAATGTTAACATGTGAATTAAAATATCTTTCTCCACCTTTTTCATCTATACTTAAAATTCCACCCATTTCTTGGATGATTGTGTAGGGTAAGATATACATAATATTGTAGAAAGAAAAGACCAAACTCATCATTTTTGCTTGATAACATCTCTGCAAATACAGTGATCCCATGAGTGTTGTTCGAAACCCATCCATTACCACGTTTTTAATGTTTCAATGAATTATTAAATGCCTTCCAGTTATCAGTTTAAGTTATTCATAGTTTTTATTATAAAGGTTATGTGGGGGAGGGGGGTGTTGTTTGTTTGTTTTGGTTTTTGAGTCAGGGTCTTGTTCCTTTGCCCAGACTAGAATGCAGTGGTGTCATCATAGCTCGTTCCTTTGCCCAGACTAGAATGCAGTGGTGTCATCATAGCTTACTGCAACCTCAAACTGCTAGGCTCAAGAAATCCTCCTGTCCTCAGCCTCCTGGATAGCTGAGACTACAGGAACCTACCACCACATCTGGTTACTTTTTTATTTTTTATAGAGAGGGCATTCTCACTTTGTTGCCCAGACTTGTCTTATATTCCTGGCTTCAAATATCCTTCTGCCTCAGCCTCCCAAAGTGCTAGAATTATAGGCATGAGCCACCATGCCAGGCCCAGTGTGTTCTTTTTAAAAGTATAGAGGAGTTTAGAATCAGACATTGTGCCCCTTGGTCATAACCATAGCTGTTCTGTTATATTTCCTTCTGGGGATTTTGTATGTTACTTTTATTTCCATAATACAATCTCAGGCCGGGCGTGGTGGCTCATGCCTGTAATCCTAGCACTCTGGGAGGCTGAGGCAGGTGGATTGCCTGAGTTTAGGCATTCAAGACCAGCCTGAGCAAGAGTAATACCTCATCTCTAAAAATAGCAGGGAGGGTTGTGGCAGGTGCCTGTAGTCCCAGCTACGCCAGAGGTTGAGGAAGGAGAGTCACTTGAGCTCAAGAATTTGAGTTTGCTGTGAGCTGTGATACCACTGCATTCTACTGAGGGCAACAAAGTGAGACTCTGTCTCAAAAAAATAAAAAATACAATCTCATGTGAATTTTCCAAGAATTATTAAAAATCTTATGTAAATATCATCTTTAATGGCTTTATAATTCTATCTTATGGATATGCCATAATTTTCCTAACCATTCGGCTACTGTACATTTCAGTTATTTTCATGTTTCCCCTATTATAAATAAAACTCTGGCCATCTATCATTTATTTACTCAACACATGTGTTTGTGAGTGCCTACCCATGTGGTAGCATTTTCTTAGTGGAAATGGGATTTTCTGACATCTACAGATGTCCCAAAAGTTGCCTCTAACATTGCCATACATATGGGAAAAGGGAAATTATAGCTAAATATACCTTTCTTTACAAAAAATTCATTACAGAATTTTTCAAAGAGGTGGCCAAAATGTAGAAGAATACCTGGTGATCACAAGTGGTAGAGGTTTTGCAGTGTTCCCCAGAGTTTTTTTTTTTGAGACAGAGCCTCAAGCTGTCCCCCTGGGTAGAGTGCTGTGGCATCACAGCTCACAGCAACCTCCAACTCCTGGGCTCAAGCTATTCTCCCTCCGCCTCCCAAGTAGCTGGGACCACAGGCGCCCGCCACAATGCCAGGCTATTTTTTGGTTGCAGCCATCATTGTTGTTGGTGGGTTCGGGCTGGATTCGAACCCGCCACCTTAGGTGTATGTGGCTGGCACCTTAGCCACTTGAGCCACAGGCGCCGAGCCCCCCAGAGTTTTTGATAGCCACACGTCATAAAACAGTATGGAGTTGGGATCATCAGTAGAAATGTGCAGTAGGCTAATCTTAGTGATGAATGTCGTCTTTCTGTTACTCTCATTTACTGTTGTTTGACCAGACCTTTTTGTGAGTGCTTTGCCCCTGCATTGTTTGGTCTTTGTAACAGCTCTATGCAAGTAGGCATTGTAATTATCCAGATTTTCCATGTGAGGAAGTTGAGGCCCAGCGAGGTAAGGTAACCTTTCTAGAGTATACAGTCAGCAAGTAGCAAAGTGCTAGCTCTAGAGTCCATGTTCTTGACCTCTAGGCCTTGCTGCTTCTGTAAATTAGTGATTTAGTAGAGCATTTAGCAAGTAGCCATTAATTGTATGTAAAAATGATTGTGGATTAACAACACTTCGTTTGCCCATAAAAAATAAAGGAAGGACTTCCATTTTGTGAATCAAATCCTGGTCTTTAAGTAGGTCTGTAGGCTAGCATTGTGCTGAGAATGTTACTGAGAAAAGCACACAAGTAGTCAGGGGAATATAAGGGAGGATGCCTTTTTATTTCTCTTTTGGGTAATATGTTATTTCATGTATTCTAAATGCCGTGTATTTGTTGTGATTTAATGGTAAAAAGAGTATATGTTCCTTTTCATGTCAGTGAGATGACAGTCAGAGTTCATGTTCCTAAGGAGAAGCATTCATTCTGTCCTCCCAAAGAAAACTGTTAGAACAGGCTATTCCTGACTGTTACAGAGGAAGAAAGAGTTTTGGCTTAGAAATCCAGTCAGTAGAGCCGTGATAGGTCCTATTTTGCTAAATCCAACCCATTTCTTAATTTCTTTTTCTTACAAGGGGCAACACCCTCCACTAAAGAGTCAAACCAGCTTGATACATTCTCATTTGGCGGGGGAGGCAAACCTTTTTATGAGACTGTTCCTGAAAGCTCCCCTCCTGGAATCACAGCCGCGACCAGCCTCACAGGAGCTGCCGCCACATCTCCAGGAGAGGCCTCTCCATCCAGCAGCAGATCTGTGGCACCTTCTGGAATTGCTCTTTCTACCACCTCTAGCAAGTTGGAAACTCCACCATCCAAGTTGGGAGAGCTTCTGTTTTCAAATTCTTTGGCTGGAGAGACTCTAGGAAGTTTCTCAGGACTACGGGTTGGCCAAGCAGAAGATGCTACAAAGCCAGCCAGTAAGACTTCATCCACAAGCCTAACTAGTGTCCAGCCCACCAAGACGTCAAACGTGCCCTCGGGGTTTAGTTTTACTGGCCCTGCAGCGTTAGGGAAGCACGTGGAGCCCCCTGTGACCTCTTCTGTCACCACCACCACAGTAGCACCACCGACAATTGTGAGCACGAGCACCAGCAGTTCCTCGACTGGTGTTTTTAGCAGTCTGCCACTCACCAATGCAGGGCCCTCTGCGGTAGTCAGTTTTGGTGGGACATCTCTAAGTGGTGGCAAGACTGGTTTTTCATTTGGAAGCCAACAGGCCAGTAGTGTAGTGCCATCTGCCCCACCGTCAACTACAGCTGCCAGTGGCACTCCCCTTCCAACATCATTCCCCACGTTGTCATTCGGTAATCTCTTGAGTTCAGCATCTGTTCCCTCCTTGCCTGTGTCCCCTGGTAAAAGCACAGAGGCAGCTGCATCATCGGCTTTGCCCGAGAAGCCGGGCGGCAGTGAGGGCTCAGTGTCAGCAACCTCACTCCCAGGGCAGCAGGCATCAGCCCAGCCTCCCCAGGCTCCACTGCAAACTCCCGACTCTGTTAAGAAAGAACCTGGTCTTGCCCACCCTGCAGTCAGCAATGCTGGCGCTGCAGCAGCTAATGCCAGTCTCACAGCACCTTCTGCAGAGGCCATGCCAGTAGCCACGGTGGGCCCTGATGGCAGAGTGGAGGCAGCATCTCCTGCTCCCACCTTCTCAGTGCCTGGACAGGCTGCTGTTGGAGCTCCTGCTGTCTCAAGTGCAGGCCCTGTGACCGTTGAAACATCAAGTGCCCCCACAACCTCTAGCACTGCTTCCAGCATTGCTCCACCCAGCCCAGCTACAGAGGCAGCAGTGTTTGGGGCTGTCACTTCTGGCTCATCAGTCTTTACTCAGCCCCCTGCTGCCAGTTCAAGCTCAGCTTTCAGCCAGCTCACCAACAACGCAGCCACTGCCCCCTCTGCCACCCCTGTGTTTGGGCAGGTGGCAGCCAGCACTGCACCCAGCGTGTTTGGGCAGCAGACAGCCAGTGCAGCCAGCACAACAGCCTCCACGCCACAGGTCAGCAGCTCAGGGTTTGGCAGTCCAGCTTTTGGTGCCTCAGCCTCAGGGGTCTTTGGACAGACGACCTTTGGGCAGACCCCAGCCTTCGGGCAGTCAACAAGCAGCCCGGCAGGTGGCTTCTCCTTCAGTCAGCCTGGGTTCAGTTCTGTGCCTGCCTTCGGCCAGTCCATTTCCTCCACCACCACATCCACCAGTGGGAATGTCTTCGGTGCCTCTTCAAGTGCTAGCAGCTCCGGCTCCTTCACATTTGGACAGTCCTCTGCCAATGCAGGAGCGGGGCTGTTTGGCCAAACCAGCCCTCCTGCTTTTGGTCAGAGTCCCGGCTTTGGGCAGGGAGGCTCTGTGTTTGGTGGTGCCTCAGCCGCCACGACCACTGCAGCGTCCTCCGGGTTTAGCTTTTGTCAAGCTTCAGGTAAGAGTTTATGGAAGTTTTTTACTTTGTTCCCTTTGTGTTATTTGAAACATTTGCAACAACCTGCATTACTTTCATAATTAAAAGAAAGAAGGGGAATCAAAAAATAACCTATAAGAGAGGGTGAAGTGCTGTGATCTCGGGAGTTTCTTTGCCTAATTGGCTGGGTCTTTTCTAGCTCAGTGTAGCTTTGGTTGTGCTTCTTAGCAAGGCATCCACTCTGCTAGCCACCAGACTGCCAGTTTCATGAGGAAAAAGCAGGGATCTTTAGTTTAAGGTCATGGCGAGTAATTTAATGACTCATAAATAAGATATTTTCAATTTGGAAAGTGCTTTAGAGGTCAGTATGTCCAAAGCTGTCAAGCCGCAAGGAGACTGATCCAGTGTCAGATAGTGCTAGCAGTGGGGTCAAAAGGAGAATCCAGGTACCCTGAAGGTCTATCACTGCCCTTCTGGTATTTTGTATTTTCTCTGACCCCATCTTTTGTACTGGAATGGTAGATACTGACATTTGAAGATGGGTTTTTCTTATTTTCCATGTAGTGATTTTTTTTAATTTTACTACTTTTGATAGTTAAAACTTAATCCTTAACTATTGCGTATCCAATTTTAGTGGCTGCTTTTACTTCTAAAAGTTATCAATAGACGGGACAGTTGGAAAACTTTTCTACGATTTGCTTTCCGGTGCCTGTCTTATGAGAGGCAATTCTTTACCACTTAGGCTCTGGGAGAAAAACAGAGATCAGTGATTTCTTCAATGATAATTTATTTGAAAATGGCTCATAATTTGTTAGAAAGAAAATGTTTTCCTTCCTTCAATGTTTTTTCAGCTCCTACTAAGTTTGCATGCACAGACCTGTGGTAAAAAGACAGACACAGTTTTGCTATCTGCCAATTGGCCTCTCTGAATGATGAGAATTGTGTTAACTTGGTCCAGAAAATAGAGAGAAAGCCTCATGAGTCTAAAAGAGAGTAGGATATTTATGATGGTCTCTACTGCATCGTTTATTCTGCCTTCAAAACTTGAGAAACCTGGCCGGGCGCAGTGGTTCACGCCTGTAGTCCTAGCACTCTGGGAGGCCAAGGTGGTGGATTTCCCTGAGCTCAGGAGTTTGAGACCAGCCTGAGCCAGAGTGAGACCCCATCTCTACAAAAAAACAACAACAAAAAATAGCTGGGTGTTGTGGTGGGCGCCTGTAGTCCCAGCTACTTGGGAGGCTGAGGCAAGAGGATCACTTGAGCCTAGGAGTTGGAGATTGCTTTGAGCTATGATGTCACAGCACTCTACCAAGGGCCATAAAGTGAGTCTATCTCAATAAAAAAGTTAATAAATAAATTAAAAGAAAATTTAGAAAAATAAACTTCAAACTAAAATAATTTAATACAAAAAAATTTTTTTTAAAACTTGAGAAGTCTCATGTACAAACATGATCAGACTATTCAGAACCCCTGAAGACAAGTGTTTTCCTCTAGTCACTGTGTAGAAAGGCAGCTGGTACTCCAGCCCTAGTTGAGGAGCTGAGATTTGCCCAAGCTCACCTCCCTCATCAGTGATGGAAAAGAGAATAGAACTCCTGCCCTATCACTTATTATCTGGTATCTTTTGTTATAATGTGTACATAGTTCTGCCTGATTTTCCCAGGCCTGTTCAGTCCAGCACCTCAACCATGTTATGCCATCTGGAAGAAGGATAAACTACCTTGAAAGAATTGTTATTTGAGAGTCATAGGAAGCCAGAGAATAAAACTGTTCATAATAGTGAATCAGTTATTGGAAAGAATTCCCAGTGGCTTCAAGTCTGAGGAGAAGTTTCTCTGGGAATATACCATCTTCTGGGCCTCCACTCACTTTGAATTTAATAAGAGAGAAGGAATTTGTCCTTGGGACTTTGAAATTTATACTGTTATAAAATGTTAGCAATAAAAAAAGGTTTTGAAGTATTTAAACAGCTTTTATTTATTTATTTTTGACTGGGGCCGGGTTTGAACCTGCCACCTCCAACATATGGGGTCTGAGCCCTACTCCTTTGAGCCACAGGTGCCGTCCTGTTTTAAAGTATTTACACAGAATTTTTTCCATTTTCTAAATTGATTCGTAACGTTATTCATAAGTTGATTTATCCTGTGATATCTCAGCACACAGAAATGCCATTTAAACAAACCAGTATTTTTTTTTTGAGACAGAGTTTCACGTTGTCACTCTGGGTAGAGTGCTGTGGTGTCACAGATCACAGCACCCTCAAACTCTTGGGCTTAAGTGATTCTCCTGCCTCAGCCTCTCTAGCAGCTGGGACTACAGACGCCTGACACAACGCTGTACTGTTTTCTTGTTATAGTTGTCATTGTTTAGCAGGCCCGGGCCAGGTTCGAACCCCCCCAGTTCCCGTGTATGTGACCAGCACCCTAACCACTGACCTATACGTGCCCAGCCAAACCAGTACCTTTGTTCTTCTAAAAAAGACTCATCCAAGTTGAATTTTTATTTTCTTTGTATTTTATAGGTTTTGGGTCTAGTAATACTGGTTCTGTCTTTGGTCAAGCAGCCAGTACTGGAGGAACAGTCTTTGGCCAGGTAAATATGTGTTTATCTATATTCATGTCCCATGTATCAGACCCATCCACATTTTGCCACTGTAATAGAATCAGGTTGTGTTGTATCTCCAAGCTAAGCACACAGCCACCTGCTTTCCTAGGCTTCCTTCTCTCCAGCTGCCTTGGGGATACAGAAGTCTTGACTTCAACTAGAGAGAAGAATCACTAGGATTTTGATCTTTTTTTGACAGTCCTCTGGGAAAGTACTTTAAAAGCACGTTGCGGCTCGGCGCCTATAGCTCAACTGGCTAAGGCGCCAGCCATGTACACCTAAGGTGGCGGGTTTGAATCCCCAGCCCGGACCCGCCAAA